TTCTGAAAGAACATTTCTCCTGATCATGATATTAAGAATTTCAAACGCTGGCTCAGGATTTCCTTCCTTTGCATGCCCACAGAGCAGATTATTTAAAGCAACGGGATCTTGAACGCCCATTTTCATCAACTGTCGCAGAAGGATTTCTGCTTTTTCTGTCTGGCCATTGTTGCAAAGATACTCAATAATCGGGTTATATGCACTAGGCTCCATATGCAAAGTACTCTGAGGCCTCAAAATGATCTCTTTCTCAATGAGCTTATCCAACAACTTAACAGCATGATCATATTGACCAGCCTTGCAGAAATTCTCAATTAGAATACCATAATGCCCCGCTTCTGTTGGAACACTCAACCTAATCATAGCCTTGAGAACATCCATGGCAGCATCCAAAACACCAGCCTTGCACTGGCCAGATATTAGCCTAGTAAAGATTGCATTATCCTTAGGTTCAATGTACTTCTCCACCATCTCTTTCAAAATACCCCGAGCCTCAAACATCTTCCCTGCATCACATAGTCCCGATAATAAAGTTGAGTATGTAATGGCATTAGGTTTAATCCCAAAACTCTTCATTTCCTTCAACAATTTCAATGCATCATCGACCCGCTCAACTGACATGTACCCTTTAATCATTGTTGTATAAGTAATTACTGTAGGCTCAATATTCCTCCCCTTCATCTCCACAAAGAACTTCTCCGCCTCGTCCATTTTTTTTACCCGATAGTACCCATTAATCAATGTATTATATGTGACCACGTCCGGCAAAATGTCCTTACTCTTCATATCCTCGAAATACCTATTTGCAGTCTCGACCTTCCCTGAGAGAAAGAATCCCCAGATCATGATGTTAAAAGTGTGCGTGGTTGGCTCAATCCCCTCACCCAACATCTTATTAAAATACCTCTTGGCCATCATATACCGACCTTTACGCATGATCACCTTAAATAAAGTATCATATGATTTTATCGTCCTTTCGACCCCTAATTCATCCATTTTTTGAAACAACTTCACGCTCTCCTGAACTATGCCCCCCTTTCCATATCCTTCAATCAACAAAACCCACAAATCTTCATCCCATTCCACACCCTTTTTTGGCATATCTAGTAAAATGCACCTAGCGTGGTTCAGCTTCGAAGCTCGCCCCAAAATCTCGATGATTTTTAAATGGGTTTCTTTGGTGTGTTGAAAAAGTCCAGATCTTTCAACCCAGCGGAAGAACTGGAGAGCGTGCTCTGAGCTCTTAGAACCGTGCAACACATTATAAACAAGTTCCTGATCGAAACTGGGGACCAAGTTCCGAATCGAGTTCTGCAAACGAGTCGTCCAGGCTCGATTGGCCATCATTCTATTAATTGCGGATGCTATTGGTTCTTGTTGCAATTTCATTATGCCAGATGATATTGGAACTGCACTCTGATTCCTCGTTTTTTTGTTACTAACTCAACCAGAACATCAAATGCCCTTGATCCAATACCTGGCCAATTTAAAACAGATTAAATTCAGAAATAGTTTTGACTAAATCAAGTTACATAACAAATTCTAGTCACACATCAAGTTACATAATGTAAATTAAAATAAATTCTACCATCAATTCAACTATTCAAGGTACAAATCAAGTTACATAATGCAAATTCTACAATCAATTCAATTATTCAAGTTACACAAAGCCAGGGGCGAATCCGGGAATTTAGAGCACATGGGCTGAAATTTAAGAAATTCGATATACTAAATTAACATCTAATACTAAAAGTCAAATTCATCTACTTTTGAAATTATTTTCCACGAGGATTTTAAACTGAATTTGAAGTCATTCTAAACATAAAATTCATCTATAATAAAATCTACATATATCTTCTCAACAAATTCTCGTTCAACAAGACAATAACAATTCATTATTTTGGCCGAAAAGACAACAAATAGTGAGATGTGCACATTGATTTGTTGAAGGAAGCAAATTGCAGATTTTTAGACTGCAAATTTTTCGACTTTGAAGCTTTTTCCAATGAAGAAAAATAAAACCATCTTCAATTGTGAAACCCAAGTTCAAGTCTACTAAATGAGAAATACCAAAACGCACAAGAATGAATCAATATAAAGTAAAACGGGAATAAAGATTAAATGAATCAACCATGTGCATATTATCCTATAAAGCATGATAATTTGATCCTAAGAAAATTATCAACAAGTTCAATTAACAAGCATCACAGCTAAAAATCCTAAAAAGTTTGCTTCATTGTCTATTTATAAGCAGCAAAAATTATCCCTTATCAAAGTGAAACTCTCACCCCTCATGTCCAAAAAGTAATGACTCCACATCTCGAATACGTCCTTATGTGTTGCGACCAAAAAGTAGTGAAGCCACAAAGATGACCTTATCTCATCTAGAATACGTCCCCTAAACTCATATTCATTTCCATATCATCCACATTAAGCAATCATTTGTAGCCAAAAATTTTCCATTCACCAGCTGGAAAATACCAACTGGACAATAATCAAGTTCAGGTAGCAATGCTAATTTAATTAAACTCCAGTGGCCACTAAGCTTCGAAATCGATTTAGCACATTCACAACTAAGCATCATATGAACTCATGTTTCCTCTCCTCCAAGCCATTTTCATTGGGTATTCAACTCCAAATCCCCTCTTGCTAAATTATTTTTAGTCGGGATCTCATTGTGAAGAATCACAAAACGAATATCTTAACCTTTTGTGAAACTTTGAGCTTCCAAATTTCTCATCAACAACCAGCAAGGGACATCGAACTTTAGCCAATATCAACAGCTTGCTTTGAATTTAATATCCTATAACCAGGGGTGAAGCAAAGATATTAATTCAATGCGAGCACAATTTTATCGACGCCGAACGTCGAATTTTTGTTCATGGTTTTAGTGATGATAAAAATATAAAACAATATTATGAAAATACTAAAAATGACATAGTTTATATATTGCACTTATTCCTTATGAGTTTTCATAATTTGATATCCCCCGCCATCCAGTGGCGAATCTAGCATCAATGTTCAGCTAGGGTGGAGGTTTATTTTGACCGTTGACCGTCGACAATCAACGATCCTAAAGGCCTGATCTGATCGACGGCCGATTGTTTATTAAAATTAGATTAAATGATATTAAAAATTATTTAATGTATATGTAAATGCACTAAAATCTAGAAATTATATACATATGAAAATATAGTTCATTTCAGATCATCACAGAAGATGTGTGGATCAGCAATTATGAGCCTCAAACCAATTCAATCATTCATTCCGAACAAAACATTTATTGATTGAATCAGTGAAATATGCATGAATAATTTTATTTTTTTCTAATAAATTGATTTAATAAACTACTTAATGGAGATTGAATTAAAAACTTCAATGGTTTATATCATTAGAATATTTTATTGGACTCTTTAATCCCAACTAATAAATTAATAAATAGTAATGGACAAAAATAAGCATTAAAAAATGACATAATTCGTAATTTATTTATGTCATCCCCATCCATATTATATCTTCACAAATTACAAATTGCTATTAGAAAGTAAATGCCCAACCTCAACAATTTCTAAACCATCTATTATCTATATATATCAGAGAAAGCTGAGCAAATATTGAAAAATTGTCCAAGACTCCAACTTCACGACTTCACCACTCACTGACTCACCAACAAAAAGTAAACTTTGAAACAAATAAAACTTGGCAATTGATATGAAATATTAAAAACTGGTTACAAATTTACAAGCGACATAGAGAAATAGAGAATTATGTATTTATTCAAGAACAGCTGAACAGGTAAAAAGCCTATAATAATACCGATTTTGACGGGAAGGAAATCGGAAATGGCCAAACGGGACTGATTCGGGAGGGAAAAGGAAAGCTTGTTGTTCGTTGGCTCGCTGCTGCTATGGCCTACGGGTTGCCTGTTGGTGCTGGAGTGCTGGTCAGCTGATTGGTCCTCTCCGACTCCGAGTCTCCGTTTGCGAACTACGAAGGGCGAAGGACGAAAGTAAGAGGCTGATGAATGGCCGAGCATTACCTTCATCCATTCGTAGATCGGCGGATGAATTGTGGCAGAATGGCTAATGGATTGGGTATTGGTGCTAAGAGAGTGAAATATATTGGATTGGGTTTGCTCTTGGGTTTGTGCATCTGGTAGTAGTGGACCTAGTGGTAGGCTAATGCTAAAAAATAAAAAAATAAAAATTGGAAATTGCACCACCCATCTTAATTGTAGTAAATATTTTAAAAAGTACTATGTAATCATTTTATTTCAATAAATATGGTTTTTGTTGAAAGTTTCTTTAAAAGAATATTAAATTAGGTAACATATTTTATTCCCACAAACACATCTTTACATACATTTTAATTCCTACAATACAAACAATTTCGTATCAAATGGTACAAGTAGCCCAAATGTGATCGTTGCATTTATCACAAATTTGTTTACGTGATCCGTGCCTATAATACAATAACGGGGGCGACTATATTTTTGGGAAGAAAAAGAAAAAAATGCAGACATGTATTTGTGTTGACTAAATGTAAGTTTTGTGGCTGTAGAATTTAAAACGTGCAAATACGGATAATTGTTAAAAGATGCATATTCTTTAGTTCTAACGATTGACCATTGCAATTACTATAAATGGGATAGAATGGGTTGCGTTTAAAATTAACATACATTATACATGATAGTCTGCTAACAGCTTGCTAACCAACAAAAGTATGCTGACAATTCAAAATGCAAAAAGTAACTCATCCCAAATCTTAATGCTATTTTCACTATAAAAACAACTAACATAAAAACAAAAATTCACATTTAAAATAAATATCAAGATTTGAAATATTTTTTATTAACCGAAATGCCATTAAATTTTAAACATTAAAATTTTGACATTAAAAAAATCATTATTGACACGTAATGTTCATCAGTGAATAGTAACTTTCCAAAAACAAATCATCTTCTTCTTTACTTAAAATGAAATTGAATAATGCTATTTGTTGTCGCTCACTACCGCAGTTGTCCCACGTGGCATAAAATAATACCACATTAATGCATTCAATCACTAACCGTCACATGTGTGTCACGTAGGACGACTATGGCTGTGAACGACTGTAAATAGCATTACTCTATGAAATTTCTTACATTTACATTCCTCGAAAATGATCACTATACAATAATAAGGTAACAAAACAAAGTTCACAGTCGTCTTACATAGCATGCATGTGACGATTAGTGATTTGATGCATAATGTAATAAAAAAAATACTATATAAATGCATCCAATCACTGATCACCATATGTATATCACGTATGACAATTATGGTTGTGAGCGATTGTAAATAATATTATTCTATGAAATTTCGTACATTTACATTCCTCCAAAATGATCACTATACAATAACTGGGCAACAAAACAAAGGTCATGCATTGGAAAATGTCCTATTATAAATTCTCTCTCTCTATCTCTCAAACAAGAGACACATTAAAATTTTAAAACTTAAATTTTGACATTTAATCAAATTTTTTCTTTCACTATTCATGTATCACAATAACTAGAACAATGTTGTGTAGCCCTACTAGGATTAAAACTCCAGTTTATGTAGCGTTATAGTTATAAACACAATGAGTTTAGTTCTATTATTCAAATATGTAACTTATATCTATATGGAGACACATAGAGTAATGTAAGTGTGAGTGTTTGTGTTTGAGTGTGTTAATTTGATGATTTTTGTATAAACCTTTTGCTGTGTTATACCAAAAAGGGTTGCGCTACGATGACTTGTATGACCCAATGTACGATTTGGATGTGAAGGAGGCGCTGAACTGGCTGCCTAGAGAAATCGTGGATGCGAGGAACCAACGCCTCAAGCGAGCCATGGACCTCTCCTTGAAGCATGAGTACCTCCCTGAGGAGCTTCAGGTATTTTTCTTACTTGGAAATTTAGCTGTATGTACAGATAATCTATTATGTACATATATTTATGCGTCAAATCAATAATTGATTCATCAATTTTGGTAGCTTCTCTTGTCTTAATGAGTTGGTTTCTAGACTAACCAAGTTTCTAAATGAATTATCAGCTTGAAATAGAAACCTATTAATTTTAATTCTTGTAATTTTATACATGAGACTAACGGTATTGTAACTAGACTATAATTAACGTAAAATGACAGTCCTAGTTGACTATTCATGAATAATTATAATCTTTTACAGTGACCTTAACCAAAATTAAAGAATACTAGAGGTTTGGTGATGTGAACCCCGTAGCAACTAACACTAACGAACCCACAGAAGAATGACACAAATCCCAAGAAAGCCAAAAAACAAAGTTTTGGACGCGATTCACAAATCTGTGGACCAAACAATCAATAATGTATCAAACTATTAACCTTTTGATCACGAAATTTACGAACTTAATCCGGATTTTGGACTTAACCCAATTAATAATTGAACCAAACAACCCCAAGGTAACAAAGACACGAATGACATTTTGATTACAAGATTAATTGAATCTTACCTGAGTTTTGAATGCTACAAGATCATGAAATCTTGATAAGTTCGGTTTGTTCGGCCAGAACAAGAATTGGAAGCAATTTGCCTCTCTGAATTAATCCTCAAAATATCAAAAGTCTGAATACAAAGAATGGAAAATTTGCAATTTATACCTAAACCCTAAATTAATGGAAAAAGGAAATTTTAAGAGTCCAAACATAATAGACTTGCCAAAAATAAGAATTATAGCTAAATTAAAAGTCTCGCAAAAAAAAGAAGAAAATTTCTGGCTCGAAAATGTGCTATGCGGTCGCATAACACAATTGGATGCGATCGCATAGAAGAAGCAGTTCACCCGGCTAATTTCCCTGCCTCCATGTATGCGACCGCAAGGCTGGGACTACTATGCGGTCGCATAGTAGTCGGCTGACTCCAATTGTGGCCCTTCAATTCAATCGGTTCCAAGATTATTCGGCAGTGGTCCCCAACACGGAACTGGACCCTTGGCTTGCCAACTTTACCCTTTTGAACTTCATTCCACGAACACATATTTGTATGGCTTTGTGCATTGTCTTTAACCCGAATGTTCCTCGATCGAGCCCTTTGAGCCTTCTCCATGACTTTCGCACTCGGGATTGACCTTGGTTGACTGAAGATCACATCATTTGGTTTCTGGATCAAAGGTCATTATTTATATCATGCTAATTCTATCCACCTCTTCCTCTTCTAACATATTTTAATCATTCATGCCATTTCACCGGATTGATTTTACCAGAATTGTGCTAGATTAACACTTGACAGTATTTCATTAGTAATTGAAAAATGTTTTTGGGCCAACTACCAATGAAATGCTATCAAGTGTTAATCTAGTAAAATCAGTCTGGTAATATAGCATAACTCTACTTTAACTGAATTGCATCACACTTGTGGACGAGAATTAGGACAGATACATTTTTGCTTTAGTTTCTCCTCACCTGGGGTAGATCCAGAACCAGACTAAAACGAATTTTAAGCCAGGCTAATATGTGACACAAAAAAAAAAATTACTCATAAATTTTTTTATTTTTTATAGATTTAAATTTTTTATACGTAAAAAACTGAATGGGCTCAAGCCCAGGCCTGCCCCTAAATCGGCCAATGCTCCCCACCAAACAAGAGAAGTTCCTTGAAAAACCTGATGCAGTTGCTTGCATCAAGATGAGCATGTAGCAACTGCATTATGCTCTAGATATTTC